CATGCTTATGCCGAGAGAAGGGTTTTAGGAAAAAAATGAACTTGCCTGATCGGCCAGACCTACTACGGCCAGTCGAACGCTAGTGAGTTAGTAACACGCAGTGAACAGGACGAGGCAGGTCGTCGAACCCTCCTGAATGCAGTCTGACTGATCCTCTCACTGCTTCATTTGTGATTATCGCAAAGCTTGTCATAATGGGTGGCCGCAGGGAGTTTAAATCTCAACCCATTCGATCGATTGTTTCTCGGTCGATCTTCGGCCGATTGCCCGGCCTTTCAACTGTCTCGGCTAGAGGGCGCATTCGGCGTTTTATGGCCCTCCTTCCAACTGCTCTATTTACTCGCACGGCAGTCTACGCAGTCGGTTGGCGCCGACTTGAAAGGGCCCGCGACGGATAAAATGAATTACGCCCTTATTACCTCGTACGCCAACAACACATGTACTAGCGCACAACGAGGCGCAAGTCGGACGGGATGCTCAAAAGCGGCTTTCCCCCTGCGCACCGATGGACAGGAGTGCGGTTGCCTGTAAGGCAAAGCTTTCCGACAAACTGACCAATCACAGTTCGCTGCGACGCCTCACTCGTTCACAAAAACAGACTCGCCTGTCCAGGTGTGTTAGTGAAGCAACGTGTATCTGTGTCTGTCTGTGCGTGTGCAAGGCAGCTTTTGCGTCTATTATCCACGTCCCGCGGCTTATCCAAACCCATAGCCGAGTCGGGGCAGGTCGTTGATATTTGCACCAACGACATGATCAGGCCTCGCGATGCCTCTCTCTTTCTCCGTCTGACTATTACGTCATGCAAATTCGTCTGGCTATGCTGCATCGTACTGTCATACAAACATACAAGCACTTGATTGGATAAGTCCAATTGTATGAGTGTGGCTGTGTCTTGTTGGCTGAACGCGAACAAAACTTTGCTTCCCGCCTTGAAGTCAGACCGGCTATCGATTGATGAGCACCGCAAATTGACCATCTTGAGGCCCCCCTTACCCTCTCACTTTCTCTGTATCTCTCTCTTATCTTACTAGAAGGCACCAAAGTACATCGCTTGTTTGTGCGCAAGCCATGCCTATGCAAATACACATACGGCACAGCTTGTATGTACGCTCACACACAAATATATAAACAATAGTAAATAGACAGACAGGCCGGGGGGACAGGATAGTTTTCTCATTCAACTGTGGTTGGTCTGGCCGGAACGACTCTTTTGCGCGTGTTCCCAGCCGGGCCCGAGCCCTCACTGCCCCGAAGCATACTAGCCGAGCCAATGGAGAGCTTACCCCAAACGCTATTCGGTATGCAAATGCTGCTAGAGCCGCGCGAACCAGGAGACAAGGCCGCTTAGGCGGACAAACAAACGAAGAGGCGAGATTGTCAGATTTGTAAATACACGAACCGACACGACTTTGCCTGGGGCAGTCGTTGGCCTCGCCAGGTGAGGATTAGGCCAGCTCGGACTAAA